TCTGCTAATAATAATAGACCTTCTGTAGGGTTAACATTTAGTTTTAATTTATCAACAATTTGTTTGCTAATAAAGGATATGTCAGCGCCTGTGTCGACGAGAGCTATTAATCTATTATCGTTTAATAGAAAAGGAGTATGAAGTGAGTAAGGATTCTGATTTATGATGGGATTTGCATCCTCCTTTTTCTTCAGAGTAAGGCAGTGCACGTTACCTTGCATATTGCGCCTTTTTTCTTTGACTTGCTGGAGAGCTCGCTTAAATGGACTCAGGAGACTGTTATCCTGTGATAATTCATCCATTACCTCATCGGCTGGATGCACATTTGAGGATTGTGAGGGGACGGATTCACGTTTCGCAGAAGCCTCAATTTGATTGATCCTTTTGTTGGATCCATGGTTGTTATGTAACTTTTCTTCGAATGATCTACGTCTTTGTGAAAAATTACCGGTGTAGTTTTTGGGTGCATACTTAGATGCATTTGACCCATTATCTTTATTAAAATAACTGTCTCGTTTTTTGCGGAGTACATCGCATTCACCTAGATGTCCGGGGAGATATGTGTCCCCACAATGACGGCATATGTTTTTTGCCCTTTCTTGACGCGTTGGCCGCTTACCATCATGACGTGGCCTCTTGTCTTGCGTTGTAGTACGATCAATGTCGGCATGCTTGCGCTTGCGATCGCTGGTCCTCGGTGTTCTGTTGTCGAGCACCTTATGAGGAGACTTGCTGCCTTCATTCTTCTTTATTAAGGGGAACAGCTTGTCTAATTCATCATCGAAGAATGTCTTCTCTTTTTCAAAAATGCGCTGTAACTGCGCAAGAGTCTCTCCTTCTAAGACGTAATACCCAGCAGGAGACGTTCCGTCTTCCCTCTTCATGGTGCCGAGCTTCTTTGTCACGCATTCACGTACAGGGTCCAACAATGAGTGGAAAAAAATTGATACCAAGGTGGGGTTATCGGTGAGCTTGGTCTTTGTCACCAAGTCCAAAAATCGTTCGATATACAGATGCATGTACTCACCATTGCGCTGCTTGCATCTCATCATCTTTTCCCTGTACTGCAGGTAACTAAAAGACTTGTGAAATTTCTCAACAAGCATTTCACGGACTTCTAGCCATTTGGATGACTTGAAATTCACCTCTTGGTTTCTCTGCTTCAGCCATTTAATGGATCTGGAATCCTGCCCATCATGAATGGATGTCTGCAGGTAGTTGTACCATTCTTTGTCTATGTTGACGCGATGGTACGCCAGAGTCGATTCGAACTTGTCCAGAAAGGCGCCAATTGTTTTGAATGCCTTATCAGTGCTGGCGTCAGCAGGGTGAGTCTTATTAGACTCAAAGTACTTCGAATTGCGCGAAGAGTCGTTAAGTAATCTCAATGACGGAATGCTCGCCATTGGCACAACAGGTTCAGCTTCCCTGGCAGGAACGGTGCGCGTGTTAGCAGTGCTGCCACGTTCACCACTGATCAACTTCTGAGTTTCGGCGATACGCCCCTCAAAGAACACAAGATCTTTACGAAGACCGGCCATTTTGTCCTCAATGAGCTTTAATTTACGAGTGCTCGTCTCGTTCAACTTTTGAAGAAAAAGATCTTCAATCGCGATCGTCACTTTGCGACGCATCCCTTTCAACTTAG